TCGTAACATGTCTGGACGAAAATTTTGAAACTCATGATTTCACTATTCATCCTGTCTGTACACTATTCATCTGAAAATAGGCTAACTTTGAAAATTCATAACTAATTCTACAAAAATCAAAATGAAGTGGTTCCAAATTTTACGTGAAGCTTATTAAGATTTCTATGGAGGAAAAATACTCACCAGGTCTAATTCCATCCAGAATAATTCTAGGAATTCGTCAAGGTGCACTGTTCTTTTGGTAAATTTTTGAATTTCTAGTATTTTTACCCAACTTTAGAAGGGCATAAGTCTTAGCACACAACTCCAAATTTGGTGATCTACCACTTGATTTAAAGCTAAAAATGAGATTTATTTGCTTACAAAATCTCAGGTCCAGATTCTATCATTTGCTTATTATTTTATGTGACACAAGATTGTCTCGTTTTAGGGCATTTTTATCCCCTAAACCATATTTTCTTCAATTTTCCTTTCTCTTTTCCAATTGCAATCCATTCCAACACATCACACCATGATTATAAACCATCACATAGCATTATAATTTACATAATATCAAAGTATTCCATATCCATAATCCATTACAAGCTTATAGCAAAGGTCAACAAAATATAATATAACGTAATACATTGTCATAAAGTCTCCATGGCCTCCCTAGCTCACGCCAATTCTTTGCCCTTATCCATACTTGGTCCACTCCCTATTAGTGTATAATTTAACATAGGGAGTGAGATTTCATAGAAATCTTAGTAGCAATGAATTATAATTATCATGTTAATCAAGTAATGCATAAAGTGATATGTCATAAAACTTCAAACATCCTCAAGTCACATAAAATCACATTTTTCATCAAATCAAGAGAGGAATCAAACACACTTTAACATTAACATATTATCATGCATTTGGCCAAAGCATATCAAATGTCATAAAATCAACAATGCCACAAAATAAATTCCTTAGTTCAAGCAACCACATAAGCACATTACACAAGCAAGATAAACAATCAAATTACAATTCAATGCTACCTTTTACTACTTCTCCAATTCGGTCACCTCAAGGGACAATGATCTTCCTTGATTCTTCCTCCTAAAACCTATTGAATCAAGCATAAACATAGGCCACATTAACTATTAAATAACTTGATTACAACACTTTAACACTAACTTAACAATTTTCCCTCTTTTTCTTTGATTTTTAACAAAATGATTCCTCCTTTAGAATCAATCATCTCATGACTCAATCCTACACAATTTTTCATGAGGAATCCAAATATGCAATCTGATTTTTGAAATTCAAACTCCTTCCCTATGAACCTGGTTTGGCCGAATAGGGGATATATGTTTCCAAAAATTCTATTTTTGATTCCAATGATTTTAAACACTTCCCACACAACATAACCCTACACAAAAATATGTTTTAAAGCCATTAGGATCATCAAATCAAGCCAAACAATCAGCTCCTGCATGAACAGTGTTGGCCAAAATTCTCCCCCCAAACCCTAACCTTGATTTCATCCAAAAATTAATCCATACATCCTTAATCTTGCTTATTCCACTTGATTATTAAGGTTTCTATCCTTTCTAAGCATCACACATCCTAACCAAATTTTGGCAGAATTTTCAGCATTTTTCTAGTATTTTTCCAAGCCAAAATCTTAATCCATTAATGTAAAACTTAGGGATAATGATCCTTAGACATACCTTAATGTTTCCTTGAAGTAAGTTGGATGATTCCTTGCCTAAAACACCTCAAAATGTTTGAACAAGGGTGCTGGATGAATAGTGGCAGAGTCTCCCCTTATTTTTCCCAATTTTCCAACATTTTCTTCTTATTTCCTAGGGGTATATATAGAAAATTCAAGTCTGCCCCTTCCCTCTTCAATTAGATGAAATTGGACACCTAAGAAGGTGTATGTGGCAGCTATCAAGTGTGGAAAATATTTAGATTTGAACAAGTGTCCCTTTACTAGATATTTCCAGCCATTTATCCCTTATTTTTCACTTTTTGTTTAATAAAAATGGAGGATCTGGAAAGTGTATAAATTTGGGTCCTTCTTGGGTCCATTGTGGGCCCCATAAATGGTTTGTACTAGCCCACAAACCAAATCACTATCCCAAACTAATTTGAAACTTTATCGGTTACTATTCACTAGTAACATTTCATAATTTTTCTAGACCTTCAAAAATTCATTTCTCTCCATGATAACTCACCTTTTAATATGAGAATATGATCTCAAAATTTTTAGAATTTTTCACCACCTTTAGCTATTTAGTTTGAATTTTCTCTGATTAGGCCTTTGTCAGTAATTTTGAGGGAAAATAAATTCCCTAAAATTAATTTTTGAACTTCAAGGCCTTTAACCAATTTTATAAATTCAAATAAATATTTAGATGATTTATCTATCAATCTCTCAAATTTATTGAGGCCTCTAACTAATTAAAATAACTATTTTTCTTTGATTTTCCAATATTTTCCTGAAAAACCTCTGTTTACGAGAAATTCCGTAATAAATTATTTTCACCGTAATTCTACCTTTCAAGCCTCAAATGAGTTTCTAAAACCTATACTCTACATTTTTCCTATTTTTCAGGAATTTTCTAGAATTTTTTTCCAAATTTTTTCGTTTTGCCCTTCCTATACTGATAATTACGGAAATGTCAGCCCAGACCTTACCAGGGTTTCCCATCAAAAGTTGTTTCATCTCCCCATCTAGTTTTATGTTGACCCTCATCCCAATTTTTGATTTCCTATATCCAGGTGAAAATTCTTGGGATGTGACAAAGTGGGTGTGTAGAAAGTGTGAAAATATTTAAAAGAACTTACTGGGGCAATATGTCGAGTGGCTGAGGTGAAAAGACATTTTCTTAATATAAAAATTATAAAACAATTTTAAGAAGGTAACTATGGGAGAAAAAGAATTAGACTGGAGTGTTAAAATGCCATCATAGTTATAAAGAACTTATCTTATTTTGAAAATAAGACAAACCCTTTATAACACTTTTCCTCCACCCAAACAATTCATTCAAATTATAAATAAATATTGATTTTATTTGTATAAAATTTTTAATTTACAATTTAAGTTTCCAGCTGCAAAATTTTTCAATAATAGATCCTCAAGTTATTCTACATTCTAAACTAATTAAAATCTCAATAATATGTGAGACAATCAAAATAAATTATTTAACTTAAATTTAATTAATATATATATGATATACATATATATATATATATGTATATCATAAATAATGTATTTTTCAACAAAAATTTAATTTTAAATACTAATAGCAGCAAATAGATAAATTTAAACTGATTAAAAATTAACTACTCATTTATCTCTAATTTTTTATAATCATCTACGATCAAAACTCAATACTTATTCTATACCTAAATCTCATAATTTTTTCTAATCATTATAATAATACTGCCATTAGAAAGTTTAAAATATATAGAAAATATTCATAAAGAAATTTTGATAAAAAAAAAAAGTAATTTTATGTTCCTAAATTATCGGGAGTATTTACTTTTCCACTGAACTTTCGGTGGAAAAGTTATCTTTTTTAAAAATATAATAAAATATTATTAATTTTAATAATAAAATATTATATTTTATATTATTTCATTTTACTTCTAAATTTCAATTTTTTAGGAAATAATAATACTTCAATTAAATTTTTATTTTTTTAATTAATTAATTTAATTTTTTTACTTAAATTTTAAAATAAAATTTAGGATGTTATATGAGGCACTTGATAGAGGAACTGAAGAATAATGCAAGGAAATTTAGCCATACAACAAGCCAACACTATCAAGTTACAAGTGCCACCACTTTTTGATGAACTTTGCAAAATGCTTCAAGAATATGGGATTAAGGTGGAAAAAATACCTCCCATATATTGTTTACTTGTGTTGTTGATAAGCTTAGGACAACGGTCCAATCTCCAGCTGCAATTAAAAAACAAGTGATAATGGACATGTTTTATGGTTCTCATTGGATGGTTGTTTGACCACTTATTATGCTGACTTTTAATGCATATTCAACAGAACTTCTTCTGGTAAAAAAAAAAAAAAAGGACTTCTAACTATTGTTGATGACTGTTGTGTATTTTGGTATATACTAACAATGCTATCAGTCCACAAAAATATACTAACAATGCTATGTGGAGATGACTGGATTATATTTTTACTGTCAGTGTTCTATTACTTATACTGTGACAGCAAAATGTTATAAATTATAATGAAGATGTCTTTCTTTATTTTAACAAATTGTGATTGATATATTATATTTTTCTAGATTCTGTGAAAGTGCAGCATGATATAAGAGTGAATGATGGAATGGATACTGGAATTTCTTCATCAAACGATAGGCGAAGGTTGGTTATAAAAGAAAAATTAGATTTAGAACTTAAAAATGAGAGGATGATTGGAGATTTTGATGATATTGTTTATAAAGTTAACAGTTTTTTTTATCTAAATTTCATTAGCAATAGTTTTATTTTATTTATGTGAATAAATAAAAGGATGGGCGTTAAGTTTAAATAAAAAAATTTGCCAATTTTACTCAGCCAAAAAAGAATACTTGGTAAAAATGAAACAAGTTGGAACTGCTTTTTTTTTTTTTTTTGCCAACGTGAACTTTTGTATATTATGCAATTTGAATTAAGGCTGAAATTAATTAATATATAATAGAAGTTCAGAAATATAAACTAGGAAGTTAAAAAATCATAAATAAAATAGTAAATTAGTTATTATCACTTCTTCCTTTCTTCTCTTGAATCCAACAAAGATTATTGACACAATAAAATAATATTAAAATTTTTGAGAGAATTACAATAAGATCTTAAAAAGAGAAAAAAAAATTATAAAACAAATTATAGAAATTGTCATTCTCCACTTAAAAACTTGTTATTACAGACAAGTTAGATTATTATTGAGACTTTTTAATAATTATTTTTTTTTAGCATTTGATTGTAATTCTCCCCAAATCTTTCTACCCTTCCGTACTTTCCCTCCCCTGCCCTTCCCCGGAGGGAACGGGCCCTTGACCCATCAGATCCATTCTCATTTGCTCATTTTCGAATTGAATCCTAAGTAGAGAGATTGACTATTGAGAGAACAGAAGCTGAGAGTGAGAGAGACCTCGAAGGTCTGAGAGGGAGAGGACGCTGAGGAAGCTTTTGAGGAAGGTCTAGGCGTCGTGGGAGCTGGTTTTCGAACCAAAGTAGGTCCCTAAACCTTTCACCGCCTCTGGTTCTTCGATTGGAGTATTTTTGGGTTGAAAGGGTGACTGGTTTGGGGTTTGTGATGGGGAAAGGCCGTGATTTGGGAGTTGGAGTTATAGTAGAGGTAGATTAAATATTTACTGGAGATTAAAGCTTGGGTAGTTGATAAATATGACTGCATGTTGATTATTCTGTATGATTGATGAATTTCGGACCAGAGGATTTGTTTTCTGATGCTAACTGAAATTTTAGATGATTAAGATTGGGGGTTTGATGTTTAAGTGTGTGAATGGATTTTGTGACTGATGCGGAATTTCTTTTATGTGGGCTTGTTGATTTTGTCTCTTTGCTATGGCTATTTCACAGAGGAACTCTTCAGTTTAAAATGAACAAATCTGTGTTTAAGTGGGATTGCAATGGTAGGACATGATGCTTGCGCGGGCGCGCGATCTTGTTGGTGGTATGAATGCTTGTGTCTGATTCTTCCTTGCTGAGTAGATTATATTAGGCGTGTATAATCTTATTTAAATGATGATGAGTATGTGTTTGTAGGTCCTTATGTTTGAACAAAGTTGCTTGTTCGTTTTGAATGTCAAAAGAGAGAGAGAGAGAGAGAGAAAATCGGTTAAAGTGTTGCTGTCTAAAAGTTTTGAAGATTAAAATTGATTTAAATACTCATCAAATGTGAAGAATAATTGCTGTTCGGAAACTGATTTAAACTTAGTTATTTGCTGTCACTGATGTTAAATAAGAATCCATAAAAGGTTCAAAGATGTTGATTTATGTGCTACGATGATGAATATAAGAAATAGAAGCCTATGCGTGTGATTCTGTCATTATGAACAAAACGGGGGAAGCTTAAAATCATGTCTATTAAATTAGCAGTAATTAAAATGTTTATATATTAATGAAAACTCTGTGTGTGTGTGTGTGTGTGTATCAAGTGCTGTTGTCATTTGTGTAGACAGATTATATTAAAGTGATTGAAATTGATAAAGTAATGATATGGCTAAATGGGCTAATCTTGGAGGTTGAAATCTGATTCTTCCTTGCTGTAATGGATTATATGTGGTGACTGAATTGCAAGGGAAAACTTACCATAATATGGGCTAAGGAATTACATATAATTACTATTTAATGCTTGTGAATGCTAATCACTTTTGCTGTCTAAAACATGGTTAAAGGAATTAAATTAGCGTTGAATGTTATATATATATATATATATATATATATATAGTTTGGTGATTGTGGGAAAGTGGGCTAGCTATTATTGGCCCATGAACTAGTATTTCACCCTAAATCTTCCAGGATCATTTAATCATAAATGCTGTAACGGTCAGATTAAGATAAAATCTGACCATATCTGATTATTATCCTATCCCATGATTCTAGGAGCTGTTTAGGGAAACCAAATCAGATCTACTGTTTAAGGAAACCAAATCAGATCTACAATAATTAGGAATATTCTCCCCCATCCTATAAATCATGTAAAATGCTATTCAATAAATATACATAGTGAATCATTTAGAAAAACTAATATGGTATCAGAGCACTGATTTGAAAATAATCTCAATGGCGTTCAAAGCTGCTCTTCTGCAGCCATGCGCCTTCGCTGCTGAGGGCAGCAACTCTGATCCCTCACAGCAAGGGACGCAGGCCCTAGTCCCTCAGTCTGATGCGTTCTCCCAATTTCCGGTTACCCATCGCCTAACTGGGCATAATTACCTACAATGGTCCAGATACGTCTTGATGTTTGTTCGGGGACGAAATAAGGAGACCTATCTTACTAAAGCTCCACCAGCATCCACCGACTCCCAGTTTGCAACATGGTGTGCAGAAAACAACCTAGTAATGGCGTGGCGTATTAACTCCATGACTGCCGATATAGGAGAAAACTACCTTCTCGCCACCACAGCCAAAGAAATCTGGGATTCTGCTAAAGCTACCTATTTTGTCACCAAAAACACAGCAGCTCTATTTCAGGTTAAGCGACAACTCCATGACCTAACCAAAGGTGATCAAACTATTACTCAATATTATACTGCTCTAATGAAACTTTGGCAACAAATAGACCTCTATGAGGTCCATGAATGGCCCAGCACTGCAGCAGCCATGTATTACAAAAAACTAATGGATCAAGAACGCTACTATAAGTTTCTTCTTGGTCTTGATGATTCCTATGAGGATGTGCGAGCAAGAATCATGAGTCTCAAGTCACTTCCATCACTACTTGAAGCATTCAACACTGTTAAGTTTAAGGAAAGCCGAAAGGTATTAATCACTGCCTCTAATATTTCCTCTACTTCAACTAACTCTCCTATTCTCGCTGTCAATGGCCCACAAAGTGATCACAAAGCAAAAAGGGGTAATAAGTGGTGTGACCACTGTCACAAGAGTGGTCACACCCGAGAAGTGTGCTGGAAGCTATATGGCAAGCCTCCAAACAACAAACCTAGGGGCAAACTTGGCAGCAAGGGAATGCTAGTAGGTGTTAACTCTAATGAAACCATAAGTCATGATGAGCTGCTGTTGCTGTGCAAATTTTTGGATAAGCACCTGCCCTCTACTTCTGACAGTGAGAACACTACACCTTCTGTCACTCTAGCCCATGCAGCTAGTGCTCTCACTCATGCTTTTCATAGTCTGACTACATCTAAAAATCTATGGATTATAGATTCTGGTGCAACTCATCACATTATTGGATTTAAGGAATTATTTTCTGACTTTAGTAATTTTTCCATACACAAAACTGTGGAAGTTACTAATGGGCAATTTGCCCAAGTCAAGGGCTCGGGAACTGTGATTATTACTCCTAATATTACTCTGCATGATGTCTTATATGTTCCTGAGATTGAATGTAGCTTGCTCTCAGTACAACAGGTCGCTGAAAAACTTCACTGTCTTGTTACTTTTGATAACATTAGCTGTGTTTTTCAGGACTTGGCATTAGGGAAGAAGATTGGCGCTGCTAAAGTATGGAATGGCCTTTACTATATACAAGGGTTCTCCCTACAAAAGTCTATTTGTCACTCTGTCTTATCCCCTATGCCCCTTGATGAAATAATGTTGTGGCATTCTAGATTAGGCTACCCTAGTCTACATTATATGCAAGTTTTATTTCCAAATATTAATAATACTGCTATTGCTGAATTTCATTGTGACACTTGCTATTTTGCCAAACAAGTTCGAAATACATATTCATCTCACCCATATAATCCTTCTCATCCTTTTTACCTTATACATAGTGATGTTTGGGGGCCATCTAAATCTGGAACACATTCCAAAGCTCATTGGTTTGTAACTTTTATTGATGACCACACAAGATTAACTTGGGTTTTTCTAATGAAAGATAAATCTGAGGTTTTTTCACTTTTTGAAAATTTCTATGCCTTTATTAAAAATCAATTCCAAGCCTTTATCCAGATTTTGCGAACCGATAATGGCATAGAGTATTTAAATTCCTCTTTTACAAATTTTTTGGCCACTAATGGTATCCATCATTAAACCTCTTGCACCTACACTCCACAGCAAAATGGCATCTCTGAAAGAAAAAATAGGCACCTACTTGAAGTACCTAGAGCCCTCATGTTTGAAACAAATGTTCTTTCAAGATTTTGGGGAGATGCTATACTTACTGCTACACATTTAATAAATCGCATGCCTTCCAAAGTCTTAAAATTCAAAACTCCTCTCCAGACACTTCTTGAGCATTTTCCCAACTCTGCCCTCTTTACCTCTTTACCTAAAAAAGTATTTGGTTGCACTGCTTTTGTTTACAATGAACATGGGGGGAAACTGGATCCTAGAGCAATAAAATGCATTTTTCTTGGCTACTCTTCAAACCAAAAGGGATATAAATGCTACTCTCCTATCACTAACCGAATTTGTATTACTATGAATGTAAGGTTTGTTGAAACACAGCCATATTATTGCAAATCACCTACTCAGGGGGAGAATCAGGGAAATGATTGGATAATTTGTGATCACTCTGACAAGCAAACAGAACCTTTAACCTACACAAACCCTTCCATGCCTCTAGATATACATATTACCCCACCATCTATACTTGCCACATCTCCAGAACCTCAACACAGCCTCTAAAATAGCTTAGACAGGACTGACCAAACCCCAACCAGACCTGAAAACTACCCAAACAGGCTTGTACCTCAACACAGAAACTTCTTTGAACCCCTAAACTCTATTTCTGATCAAGATATGACTGAAAACTCGATAGAATCACCTATTCACAGCACAGAACAGCAAAACATTGAACAAAGGCCCCCAACTAATCCAACACAGCATCATGATTCTGCACCTAAACCTAGTCCTGAAGATCTCCATTGGCCCATTACTTTAAGAAAAGGTAAAAGGAGCTGTACTCAGCATCCTATCAGTAAGTATGTGTCTTATGCTAAGCTCTCTCCTCATCTAAAGACTTTTGTAGCTAACGTAGAAAATGTGAAGATTCCTAAGAATTTCAATGAGGCTATTTCAGATACAAATTGGAAGCAAACCATCGAAGAGGAATTAAGAGCTCTACATAAGAATAGAACCTGGAAAATTACAAATCTGCCTAAAGGTAAAATAATGGTAAGTAGTAAATGGGTATTCACAGTAAAATATAATCCAGATGGGAGTATAAATAAATATAAGGCTCGTTTAGTTGCTAGAGGGTTTACTCAAACCTATGGCATAGATTATCAAGAAACCTTTGCTCCTGTAGCAAAACTCAACACTGTGAATGTACTATTGTCTATTGCTGCAAACTTGGACTGGTCTTTACATCAACTTGATATTAAAAATGCTTTCCTAAATGGAGATCTAGAAGAAGAAGTTTATATGGAAATCCCTTTGGGGATGAGAAATTCAGAAAACTTTGAGAAAGTTTGCAGGTTATACAAATCTTTGTATGGGCTAAAACAGTCCCCCAGAGCTTGGTTTGAGAAATTCTCCCAAGCAATTAAGGGGCAAGGCTACAAACAATGTCAGGCAGATGATACACTATTTATTAAGCACTATGATGACAAACTAAAAGCTCTCATTGTATATGTTGATGATATAGTATTAACAGGTAATGATGAGAAAGAAATTGCGAGGCTGAAGGAAAATTTAGCAACAAAGTTCGAAATAAAAGACCTAGGTCCACTATGATATTTCCTTGGGATGGAAGTGGCACGAACAAAAAGAGAGATAAGTGTATCCCAACGAAAATACACACTGGACCTCCTAAAGGAAACAGGGATGCTAGGATCTCGGCCAGCCAACACCCCAATGGAACTAAACCAAAAGCTGACAATAAAACCCGATGGAGAAGCAGTAAACAAAGAAAGGTATCAAAGGCTAGTGGGGAAACTCATCTACCTATCCCACACTAGGCCTGATATTTGTTATCCAGTTAGTGTAGTAAGCCAATTCTCAAGTAGTCCCCAAAAGGAACATATGACAGCAGTTTACAGAATCTTAAGATATCTTAAAAAGACTCCAGGACAAGGACTATTCTTTGCAAAAAGTGACTCTAGAGAAGTGGAACTCTTTACAGATGCTGACTGGGCAGGCTCTAAAAGGGATAGACAGTCCACCACTGGTTATTGCTCCTACATATGGGGAAACTTAGTAAGTTGGAGAAGCAAGAAGCAACCGGTAGTTTCAAGAAGCTCAGCAGAATCAGAATATAGGGCTTTAGCTCTAGGTATTTGTGAGGGGATATGGCTTGTAAGACTTCTTAAGGAGTTAAAGATGGAAAGCAAGGTACCAACAAAGGTGTGGTGTGATAATCTCTCAGCAATAAAAATTGCCAACAATCCTATACATCATGATCGCACAAAGCACGTGGAAATAGATCGTCACTTTATCAAAGAAAAGATTGACAACAAAGTGATTGACCTAGCCTACATACCCTCAAGATATCAGATTGTAGACGTGATGACAAAGTCCTTAACTCGAGAAAAATTTGAAGGTTTCAGGAACAAGCTAGGAATGATCAACATCTATTCACCAGCTTGAGGGGGAGTGTGGGAAAGTGGGCTAGCTCATGAACCAATATTTCACCCTAAATCTTCCAGGATCATTTAATCATAAATGCTGTAATGGTCAGATTGAGATAAAATCTGACCATATCTGATTATTATCCTATCCCATGATTCTAGGAGCTGTTTAGGGAAACCAAATCAGATCTACAATAATTAGGAATATTCTCCCCCATCCTATAAATCATGTAAAATGCTATTCAGTAAATATACACAGTGAATCATTCAGAAAAAATAATAGTGATAAGAATGTTATATTTAAATGTCTTATTGTTTTGATACTTAAATATCCTTGAGCTAATTATGCATGTATAATATGCATATTTGCTGCTGCGGCATGCTAGAAATTCATTGAAGAGCATGATTGAAATAATAAAAGTGCAATATTACTACTGCTTGATGAAACTAGGAAATTAGGAGAAACATGGGAAACGGGAAGGCTGTAGAGACTGCTAGACATATAAAGATTAAATATAGAAATTTTGTATGAGATGACCAACCACATCAGGAGAAGAGAGTGTGCCTGAGTGGGGGTTATAGAGAGAATTAGTTATGGTTAATCCTATTTAACATACCTTACATATATACTGGTAATGTTAGGATTTAATTGGCAGCCCAGCTTGCCAAGAAGAAAGCCAGAGCAAGGTACCAACATAGGAAAACAAGAGAAAGATAGTTTTAATCATTAATTTCATATGTTTTGCATTGGTTGCATGTCTGTTTGTGCCATATTTACTGTAGATAAGTATGAGGACATGTAAATCCTTACCATAGTTATTGCCTTGGCTATGTGCATTTATGTCGTTGTTCAGTGCAATATCTTGCAAAAGCTTGTGCGTAGCTAATAGCTACTCAGTTGATGTGATTAACTTTGGTTGATGCCAGGTTAACAAAATCGTTGATGCGATTAATATACCTTGGTTGATGCCAAGTTGTTAGAATCGTTGAAGCCTGTACAAAGCAAGTGTATTTTATTAAATAAAGATTAAATAAATAACTAGAGTGGCTATTAACATTATAAATTAGAAATTAATTTCTAACATTATTAATCGAAGATGAAAAATCACATTTTTAAGTGCATTGATAAAAGTCGCTTGCCAATGATGGTGGTTTAGGATCATAGTAAGCTCTTGCAGGGAAATCCAAATCAGGGCTCCTCCTCACAGCACTAGTTCTGTAAAGTCATCGTACACTTTTTCTTTCTCTTTCTAACACACACCTTCGTCTCTCTATCATTTCATTGGGTAATAATTTGTCAATTTCAAATTTTCAACATCTGTTATTTTTTTTTATTGCGCATTGTTGTGTTCTTGGATTGATTTCTTAGATTGAATGTATGAATGATTCCCGTGCTTGCTTTAAGCTTTGAAACTGATATCGGGTTTATTCAGTGTGGAAATTAATTTCAATAAATTTCGGAAAATGTTTGTATCCTGAGCTATTCAGAGATGGAACTAGGACTAGGTTCAAGCCAATAGGGGCAGCCGCCCCCTCTAGATAATTCTGTTTGATGTATTTTTGCGTGTATGTTTTCTTATTTCCTTTGACATTTTAAATTCTGCTCCTCTTCAATTTTCATCTGCCCCCAAGTAATCAGGGAAAAAGCCATGTTGCACAATCAATCAAGTTTTATAGCAATCTATATGTTGATCAAAGAAAAAATGTTCAGTTTCATATAAAATGTAAGAGATGGTGGATTATTTGGTAAAAAGAAAAGTCTTCATTATTATAAGCTGCTGTCACTCATATTTTGATCTTTCCGTGCTAACCTATTAAAAAATTATTCATTTAATAAATATTTAATGAAAATTAATTTATAATAATTATAAATTTTCTCATTAGATATGAATTCCCAGTTCCAATAATTTTTCTTGTTCCGTCCCTGGAGCTATTTGTTTGGTTAATATTAGCCAGTGGGTATTGAGCGAGTTACAGTGGCGTGTGGGATATCTATTATGAACAATGAAGTGTTGGTATTTGTGAGTTACTTTTCCGATTTGCAGGTGTATCCTAGGTGTGTTTATCTTGGTTATGTCTGCTATGTTGATCTTAAAGATTTTCTTGTTCTTTGGCTAGTATCTTATGAGTTTCTTGGTCAGAGAAGTGTTTGGTCCAATTATTTTCCATTGACTATAGTGGATGTCTTCTTTGCTATGTTGTTTTATGTACATCTAACATGCTTCTTGATTAGGGATTCTAGGTATTTTGTAGCTTCTCATGTGCTGGATTTTAAGGTTTTTTATCTGGCATACATCCTGCAAATTTAAAAATTTTATACTTTCATGTTTTGATTTAATTGATCTGCCAGAGATGGAAGATTCTTCCTCGCAATCCTTTTTCAAGAAGCACTGGGAAGGCTTTACGGGATTCTGGTCAGAAAGGTTCTCATTTCTTGACAACTATACCAGGTTCAAGAATCTCCCCTCTTGGTCTAGCTCTGATGTTGAGGAGTTCATTGCTTCTAACCCTGTCCATGGACCTGTAGTAAGAATTTTTTCCCCTAATTTATTCTATTTATGTGGTTTCTCTGTCTACGACTTATGTAAGTTTGTTGAGTGTATGATTGAAATTTTGGCCTTCTTGGTGGTTAGCATGTTCTCCACATCGTCTTCTGCTATTGTTACATTGTCTTTCTGCTTGTTCCTGAGATATTCATCTGTCCTTATCCTGCTATTCCTGCTATTGGAATTTCATATTTCGTATATCCTTTTGTATCACCCATTTATGGAAAAGTTTTCTATGGTTTACTGAGGAAGGAGATTGTTACAAAGGACGAGAATAAGAAATCTCTGAAATGAATGTGAAAAATGAAGAAAAACAAGCAAAAGGGAAGAAAAGTCCTTTTTGAAAAATAAAGGAATAAAATAAAATGTAGCAAAGCAATCCAATCTCTTTCCTAATTTGAGGCGGAAATGTCTTCAAATTACCATGAGCAGCACGCCACACTGAGGAGATGAATGCTTTTCTTTACTACAATGCCACAAGTCCAAAGACAAAGGAAGACCTTTAAGAGTTCAAGCCTTCCTCTCCAACCAAGTAGATCCTAACACTAGAAACACTGAAGAGTGGTAATTTGATTTAGCTTCTTTTTTTCATACCATATTAATACAAAACCTTCCAATGTTTGAGGACGCCCAAAGTCTCCAAAATCACCTGACAATTCACTACACTGAAAGGGTGCTGGAGTTTGAGAAAAGGGGCGGCTGTTTTTGAACTATTTATAAGCATGGTGGGCATATTGAGAAAAAGGGGTTTTCAGACAGGATAAACGTTAATGCTATTCAGTTTCTATCAAAACATCTTAACATCAGGGGGAACTTTAAAATTCTAGAATAGTTCATACACCTACAAATTTGTCTCTATAAGGAGAATGGACTTGGTCAGAAATTGAAGAAAATATTTGCTTGGGTAAGCATGTGAAGACTCAATATTCTCTTTATCTCTTATCTGGATGTGGAAAGAGATAGTGGTTTCAACAAGTGGAAAAGAGCGACTTGTGTGCTTCTGATACATAATACATGATTTAATCCAGGAGTTCATTTTGGTATTCTTGTATTATCAATAGTGCTGTTGTCTATGCCTTAGATTTTTTAATCGGCTGACTTTCTATGTATTTGCTAATTTGAATCATGATTGAATTTCTTGTTGGTGCATCCATGGGTGTTGTAAATAGTTTGATGACAAATTGTTGGAGTTATCTGCCCTTGAGGGAGTAAATCCAAGATCCGAACCGAAAATCTTACTTTCAAATTTAAGCTGAATGGAATTAATTATTTTAGATGATTAATATTATATCAGATTTGGTTGAGTTTCTAATTTTAAAATAGGAGATAATTCTTACCTTGTCTCTCTCTGGTATTGGATCAGTTTGGTTGAGAAAAATTCTCCTTGCATATATGATTTACTTACTTTTGTTTCTAGTTTCCATGGAGCTAGATAATAAAGTAGGTAATAGTGTAATGTTGGTATTTGCTATAGTAATGTGAATGTGTAAAGGTCATTTGTATCTCCTTCTATATGGAGACTTATTTGGATTATAAAGCCTATTTTTTTGACAAACATATTTGAAGTTTTTACTTGGACTTCCAACTTTTAGGAACACTTCTTCACATGACGTATTTCAATTTGTGTTAGTGTTGCCATTCGCCTGTGGGTGAAGATAAATGATCAAACATAAACTTACCCTTCTGGAAGCTTTCATAAACACTGAGTATAAGCCAATGACCTAATCATTTGATAAATTAATTAGTTTAAGATGCATGTTGAGTTACGACCATTAGCCAAATGCAATAGTTAGAAATTTTGAAACTTTCTCGTAGTTCAAGTTACTTACAACTAAAAGGCCAAAGATTCATCTTCTTATTGTGATGTGTAGCATTTTGTTTATAAATGACCTCATCCTATTTAATATATTCAGTCCTAGAAATTGAATTCTTGACTTGTTAAGTATTTGAAGTCACTAATGTATAGCTTGGTGTATGGAATGATTTGCTATTAAAGATATTATTAATTTAGCAGTATTTGTATCAACAGACTATATAGTTATTCTTAGAATGGTTGTTTTCATGTTAAATCGGGATATGGACTTGGTTAGGTGAAGCTTTCAACTTACGCTTAAAAATGGGTGAAACACATGCAATTGGTCATATTCTTTTGGTTTTTAAATATCATTTCAATTTGCAGTTGTGGAAGATAATTGTTAATCATACTGTTATATGCAGTATTTGTTGAATGTTTCTCTGAATAAAGAAAATTGCCTTCTGGAAAATTTGTTTAATTTCTGTTTGAGCAGAAAATTGAGTTCAAAGTTGTTTTTCTTTGCTATCATTTTAGCTGAAAACTACAAGAGAAGCAGTGAACTATGGTCTCACAGGAAGTATCATTGGAGCAGTATCTACTGCAGGCTTTGCTTACAAATATTCCAAGAGTTTGCATGGTAGTGTACCACTTCTGTCTACTGCTGATGCTTTTGGCAAAATTTAATATTTTAGATGATGGCAATTCTTTTCCTGGGAAAATCACATTGAGGACCCGTAACTTTTACCAATACTTGTTAAGAACCATAAAATATAAATTCTCAAGGACTGTAGAATTAAGTTATTTCTTATGCTTGTTAAAGTTACTACTTCATGTTTCTGATGCTCAAGTACCTCGAGGGCAATGGACATAATAATTTATCCCTTGTGCTTCCTCAAGGTAGCACTTATGTTCCCTAAAGGTACACTTTTTTGTTCTAGATGTTGTAAGAATGCTTTTTTTTGTCACTACCTTTGCATGAAACACACCTGTAACACATGGAAGATCAGTAATTTTAGGAAACATAGGTGGTAACTTTAATAAGCAACAACAGTAACTAACCCCGCGGGGTTAGGTCAGCTGGCTGGGGCTGTCCTAGCTTAACCACGGATCTCGGGTTCGAGACGTGGGAACGCAGCACTCCAAGGGGCCAGGGGCGCCGTCCGAAAGGATCCTTGCAAGCCCCCGAATCCGGACTAGTCTAGGGTTGTTGTCACAGCTAAAAGACGCCTATTACCCTGGGATACCGGATGGAGTAATCCAAAAAAAAAAAAAAAGCAACAACAGTAACTTATTTCATTGATCCTTGGGAAGAATTTTGATTTTTAAAGTCTTTAACTGTCATTACGAGTTTAGATTTTTAAATGTCATTTTCACTGTTTTATATCTTCTTCTAATAGCGAATGATGATTTTGCATGGCCAAATGGCTGTACGGAACCTTAAACTTCATAGTGATGTAGTTAAAGTCATAAAACTTAAAATTTCTTGAAGGCCATAGAAATAAGGCACCTCTAGGTCCCGTTTGGTATGAAACATTGAAAATAAGGGATAGGGATTGTGATTGTAGAGAAAAATCATTAAAAAAGTTTTTAGCATGGGTAATTGCTTATTATATGGAATTAGACAAGCTTATGGAAGTGGGATTGGGAAATACCATTTGCCCTCATGGTATTTCTCAGTTCCACATATATGGGTTTGTCCAATCCTATCTAACAAGTAATTTTGGATGCTAAACACTTTTTTAATACATTTTCTCAATCCCACTCTCAATTCCTACCTCTTATTTTTAATGTTTCGTACCACGCGGGGCCTTAATGGTTTCTTAAATTATCCTTCAAGCTTCCTAAATTTATAACTTGATCTTCAAGATGTTATAATGGTATTTTCATCCAAAATTTGGAACATATTCAATAATATTGGAAAACTTGGGAGTATAAGTGGTCAATTATTTTTATGGTCCTTGAGAGATCCTTGTGATATCAAGAAAATAAGCTGTAATGTTAGGGAGTATGGGTGATAAATTTAAGAAGCATCAATAATGATGATGATGATGATATATTTTGAAGGTCCGTAATTATAATAAGAATCCCTCCACGCCCTCCCCCTCTTTAATTAAATTACACATTTTGGCAGTTGAAATTTTGAAATCTTATTAATCACTGTCTGTGTGGCTTTCAGAGAAGGAGCTCTCAGGCTGCTTCTTTGCATGCAGAGTTTTTCGCCTCTCTAAACACATGCTATGATTTGCAATGAAAGAAGAAGCTTTCTGAATAGATTTCAGTCATTTGGGTGTAATACTTGCATCCACGTTGCTGACGCTTCCACTGTTATTTCTTCTATCTTAATTAACAGGTGCCGGGCTGTCTTTTGTTGCCGGGGGCGTGTTTGGATGGACATTTGGCCATGAAATTGCAAATCACACACTTCAACTTTACAGGTTGGATACCACGGCTGCACAAGTTAAGTTCATGGAATGGTGGGAAAAGAAATGTCAAGGACGATCTTAAAGTCCCCTATCCTACTGTGAACGTTTACAGCCTTTTCAATTATATAACTCTCCAGTACTTGCTTGTGTGATGGTTCAATGAATAAGCAGTACCTTGTCTTGAATCTTGATGTATGGTAGCATACTTTTAGATTAATTCCAGGCATTATAGCCCTTTTGAGTGTGGAATAAGCTGGATTATTTACTGCAATGTTTTTCCTCAGTGCATAAATCTTGTTCTCATTTAACTGTGTGTTTGTCTTTTTTTTCTTTTGACCTTTCTTTCTTTCTTTTTTAAGTTCTAAATTTGTTCCTTAGCTGGGCTACAGATTACGGAACGCTGAAACTGCTCTATTGCATAGACACCATCCATCTGTTGTAAGCACATTTAGATGGTTCATATTTTAATGATTTTTCTTTTTATTTCAGGAAAAAAATTATGAATTTGTACTATCTAAATTATAGAGAGCTGTATTATCTACGAGATATAAATAGTACTTTTCCAGTTCTTAATATAGAATTTAATTGTAAGTTAATTTTGGTCCTAAATATAAAACTTATTTATAATATTTATCAATTTTTTCTAAATTATCGTTATGGATATTTCTTTGATCATAATCAAGTAAGTGAGGGTGGAAGAGTATTAAGAAAGATGATTATGGTGTTTTAAGAAAAGCATATCATATTTTTTATAATTAACTAACTTATCTAACTTCTTTAATCTAATTAAATTAGTTAAATAGGTCTTATATTAAAAACTGGATGAGTAGTATGTTACTTATTGAGTTGGTGCTACTATTTCATATCCTTTCAATTTTTCTCCGTACATTTTTTTTGAACCAAGTGTACTTTTATTTTTATTCCTTTAACATAATTTTGCATTCCTTTAATATAAATATATCTATATATATATATATATATATATATATTAGAAAGATGAATCATACTTTTTCCTTATTACAGTCCAAAGTGGTCAATTTACATAAATAAAGTTGAATTTTATCCAAAAAAGGGTGAATATCCTATTTAGCTGTTAGCACGACAAGGGAGACGAATCTGGGTTCTTAAAATAGAGTTGGATTATGTTGTTAGCGAGCCTAACTCAATTAGTGTTTTTGTCTGAAAAAAATGTTAAATAAAATAATTCAATAAAATTGTTGATAATTGAGCTAATTTAACTTTATCGGCTTGGGCTGTAACTGATGACATTTTCAATAATGCAATTTACTGTCTTAACCGAATTTGAAAGCGACTCGTACCAATCAAATTATAGATGAAGTATGCATGTGGCGCACTTTGGTTCCTAATTAGAAATGAAGGCTTGTTTGATGGATGGGTTGTATTTTGATTAAAAAAACAAAAGAAGAAGGAAAGCGGAAATTTTTCACTTGTTTGGTATGTAAATGAAACAGAATGAAAATGATGAATATGATATACCCAAACACAATGATGAAAGAAGCCGTTGCTAACTATAGGATGCAGTCATGATCACCCTTGTAGAGATATTGTTAATGATGTTAGCCTTTTGTTTCATAGGGATTGGTTAGTGCCAATCCGTTTGGTTTCCTGAATCCTAAGAAATGTAATGTAATCCAATGAAAATGTAATACTCCTCCGGTCCTTATTATAAGACCCAATTTGACTTTTTATTTGGTCCTAATTATAAGACCCAATCCATTTTCTCTCTTATATTTATGCATTTTTTTCCAAGATAATCCTTCTAATAATGATAGTTTTAGCCAATATACTTAATTAGCAAGAATATTTTAGGAATAACAACACTTATTTATTATAAATAACTAACTTAACTTACTTCCTTAATCTCCTCAAATAAGTCAATTGGGTCTTATAATTAGGACCAGAGGAGTAATATTTAGGGTTAATACAAATTTTGGTCCCTCAAATTTGGACCCAATTTGGTATTGGTCCCTAAAATTTAAAACGTGTGGTATTGGTCCCTCAAATTATGTCCGTTTCAGACCGTTAGTCCCTGGCATCTTGGCACCGTTAAATTTTGCTGACATGGCGTTAATACCGTTAACTGATGAGTTAGCATATAGGTGGCATATGACCTAGACGTGGTATTGGTCCCTCAAATTTGAGGCCCTTTTTGTATTAGTCCCTGAAATTTAAAATAAATGGTATTGGTCCCTCAAATTATATCTGTTTCTGGCTGTTGGTTCTTGATAGCTTTACGCCGTCAAATTTGTCTGAGTTGGCTCTAACTTTGTTAACCTATGATACGGCATTTGACTTGGCAACTAAAACTTGATAATGTGGCATGAGCAATGAAAGATTATGGTCGAAGAGAATCTATGCAATCTAGGATTCACTTTTGTCAAAACACAAAGCTTCTGCTCCTATATTAGTGTGGAGGAAATGCAGTGCATTCTCAGCTAAACCTTCTACCTCCTCTGCTACCTTTGGCCAAAAAGGTGACTTAACAGTTCATGAGAAGAAGAAGCCGGCTTCAGATACAAAACCACTCCCATTGAAGCCATCTTCTTCTAGTACAGACGATGATGAACCTCCAAAGAAAAAAGAGAAGCACATTACCAGAGTAAGAAGCTTGAGTAGAAGCAACAAGAACCTCACCGGCAACTCCAACAAAAAGGCAGGCACAACCAGCAGCCGCCAGAGCCGCTGAGACCAGATAACAGCAAAGCAGAGGGTTCTACAGGAACAGATAAAAAGAGAAGGGCCTAAAGCTATCAGGGACCAAAGGTCAGAAACAGATATAATTTGAGGGACCAATACCATTAGTTTTAAATTTCAGGGACCAACACCAAAATGACCCCAAATTTGAGGGACCAATATCATGTCCAGGTCATATGCCAACTCATCAGTTTAACGGTGTTAATGCCACGTTAGCAAAATTTAACGGTGCGAAGATGCCAGGGACCAACGGTCTGAAACGGACATAATTTCAGGGACCAATACCACACGTTTTAAATTTCAGGGACCAATACCAAATTGGGCCCAAATTTGAGGGACTAAAATTTGTATTAACCCTAATATTTACATAAATTTGTTTGGTACGTCATTTAAAAAAAATGATGCATGGACATAAAAATGTCTGGTTGAATTACAAAAACATGAGAACAAATAGAATAATATATCAAAATATAAAAAGGTTAAGGTGTATCTAACACTACGAAGTATTTTCTCAGGTGCATTCAGCACTCTAAAGTATTTTTAGCTGCATCCAGTACTATGAAGTATTTTTTAGGGGCCCCTAACACCCTGCTTTTTAGCTGCATCCAGTACTATGAAGTATTTTTTAGCTGAAGTATTGTTTTTGCCTTGGTATTGGATGCACCAAAAAATATTTTTTTGATGCTGGACACACCTACAAAAATACTTTGAGATGATGGATGCATTCAAAAATACTTTACAGTGCTGGATGCACTTAAAACATACTTAAAGCTATTGGACGTACCACAAAATACTCTAGAGTGCTGGACGCACCTAAAAAAATAATTCAGGATGTTGAATGCATCTTAACCCAATGTAAAATTATCCCTGTCTATATATGCACACACATATAACACTCTGTCCACATATATAATAATAAATTAATAAATAAAATTAACTCTTGTGATATATATATATATATATATAATAAAAATTTTATTAATTAAAAGGAGATATTGGCAGTGACTGAGCGTGTTAGGATGCAATCACCGCCAAGTTCATCAGCCTGTGTTTATCTTCTACCTTTGGTATTTTTGTTCTGTGAACTTCTATTTAATTGCTTTCAAATGGGCCTGCTTAGGGTCGGTCGACAACGAACAAAGGCACCGCCGCACCGCTTTGAGATGGGAATAAGCAGGTGGCCACCGCAGAGCCCGGCTTCCCTCTTTTGTCCCTTCCCATCCGCTGCACTCCTTTGCGTCAAACTACATAGTTTTGGTGTAGAAATAGCACGGTGGCATTTTTTTTTTTTTTAAAATCCAAATAAGCATTTAACGCCTTCAAGTACTTTTTTAGCATCACTTATTATCTTGAAATATTTTTTCAGTACTATCTACTATTATATTATAATTTTTGATCCATTCAGAGTCCTAAAATATTTTTCCTGTAATACCCAATATTTGGCTTCCAGTACATTGAAATATTTTTTAGTATCACCCAGTATGCTAAAATAATTTTTGGTCTAGTCAGAGTCCTAAAATAATTTTTTTGTAACACCAAAGGTAGCATCCTTTTTTCATCAAATAAATATCAAGCACCCTGAAATATTTTCTTAGTACCACTTATTATTTTGAAATATTTTTTCAGTACCATTTGGTATTCTAATATAATTTTTAGCCCACTCATAGCCTTAAAATATTTTTTCTGTAGCACCCAGTATCTTGCTTCCAACACACTTAAGTATTTTTTAGTACCACATAGTATCCTAAAATATTTTTTCACTATCACCCAATATTCTAAAAGAATTTTTGATATAGTTAGAGCCCTAAAATACTTTTTTTGTGACATCCAATGACTTCTAGCATAATGAAGTATTTTTTTTAGTAGTATCTACTATTCTAAATTAATTTTTAGCGTATCTAGTATGCTAAAATATTTTTCAAGTGACACTTAATTTCTTGTAATAATTCTTGGTGCAATATTATATTTTAGGGTATTGAATGCTCTAAAAATTAGTTTAGAATACTAGGTATTATTTAGAGCTAGTAATGCGGGCTGACGGTGTGGGCTAAAGTAGCCCGCATCTTGGCATGCTAGCCCGAGCCTGCCACTAAATTTTTTTTTTTAAAAATTATTATTATTTGTATAGATTGAGTTTAGTTTGTAATGTTGAAATTGGACTTGGAGTTTTAAACTTGAGTAGTGAGTTATAATAAAATAATGTAAGGATTAATTTATAATTTGAGAAGATATTTTAGAAAAACCAATACTTATTTTTTCTAAATAATTAATTTGAATATTTTTCTTATAAAAATTATTTAAGTAGATCTTTTATGTGTCTATTACATATGCAGTTACATGAATGAGGAGATGTAAATGTGAAATTTGAAGGTCAAGATTCTCCAATTATATTGTATAATATATTGGGAATTGTATAAAAATAAAAATAATTTTTTTTTTAAAAAAGGGGGCTAACCCGTGGCAGAGCTGGTTGAAAACAGTGCAGGCTAGAGTAGCCCGCACCTTGGCGGGTTGGCATTTTACCAACCCGAGCCCGCCATTTTTGGCGAGTGGGCCCAGCCCATATTACCAGTTCTAGTACTACTGAAAAAAA